CCCCAAGCTTCAGATACGCCCACCCCCAAGATTTTTTTAACGCTGCTGTGTGGACGGTCCGTTACTGTTAACCAAATGTATTCGGGCACAACATATAAGCTAGGACATTTTGGACAAACTGAATGAAAAAGAGATCTAACAAACGTTGTGAGGTGTTCAAATGGTGAACGTAGAAGAGACATCTTCACCAACTTGACGACACATGGGCGGCGTTTACTAAAAGCTCTGAATAAACGAACACTGCAAGAAGCTCAAAACACAAAAACCAGAAACCCAGGGAATCTAAAAAGTGACGCACACAACAGTTCGACCGGATTAATTCAAGCACAAAGGGCTTTCTGGACACACCGAACAAACAATCCTTTCTCCATGTAAGAGATCCACGTTATGGAGAGTCTGAAAATCAATTTGCTTTGCTTTCTAACTTTTCTTTTGCTATCGTGTTTATGGAAACTCTCAAATTCCGCTTCCCAATTTTAGCCCGATATCTGAGGATCAGTATCAGAATTCATTCACTCCTGAAACAACACATCTGACAGGCTTAGGGAGTAATGGATTGCATGCAGCATGATACAAAAAAAACGGTATTCCCTTACAGTTACAGGATTATAATGTTAGGACAAACCTAAAAAGAGCACATCGAGTTTGTTGTGAAAGGATCAGATGGTATCTCTTCTCTGTCAGCTGTTCTGTTCTGGAGGATAATACTTTCATTGTGAATATATACGCCTCCTGCCTGAATCTGCTATATGGTTTTTTGCAATGTTGCATTTGATATTGGGGTAATCCAACAGTAGCGGAAAGTAATCAGGCTGTAAAGTAAGCCTCCTGTCTGCAGTGTGAATGACCGTTTGATTAGATATTCATCGCCTGGAGCGAATGGTGGATAGGTAGAGGAGCTGGTGTTATCCAGAGAGGAGAAGGGAAGCAGAGACAGAAACATTTGTGATCTTCAGACTGCATGTTCTCTCCGGCTGCTCTCCACTTGATCAAAGTCACCACAGATCCACGTCTGGCTGCACGTCAATCATAATAATAGATGCAATTTGTGTATCGCCTTTCAAGGGACCCAAGTACGCTTTACATGCTGAACAAACAAACAAGAGGGGCAAATAATAAAGTCAAAAGTAAATAAATGAAGCAGGGGGACTGTGATGGGTTAGGGGTCAAAGGTCATGGTGAACAGGTGAGTTTTTAATGAAGTATTGAAGATACGCACGCACACACACACACACACACACACACACACACACACACACACACACACACACACACACACACACACACACACACACACACACACACACACACACACACACACACACACACACACACACACACACACACACACACACACACACACACACACACGAGCGGAGTGTGTGTGGGTCAGCGAGACAGAGATCAGTGTTGTGACAGCTGGACAGTTGAGAGGTTCAGATAAACAGCCCACATTGAGGGGGGGGGGGTGGCGTTTGTTTGCACACTCACATAGGAGAGGGAGGACACGAAAACTCACAAAAGCACCATTATCGTGTTTGCATGCAGGCAAAAGACAGTTGGGATGGGGGGGGGGTTGCCGTAAGGAGAATAGATGTTGGGGGGGGGGGGGTAGGAGTACACAGCCATTCGCAGCATTCACTCGTTAAGAAATAGGTCAAGGATTCAGCCTGCATGCGCAACGACTTGTCAAAATCTCTCAAGCTAAACTGTGGCGAGGCTAGCTGCCTTAAGGGAGGAGGGGAGTGAGTGTGTGTGTGTGTGTGTGTGTGTGTGTGTGTGTGTGTGTGTGTGTAGGCTGCTGGTGACGCAGCACACAGAAAAGGCAGCAGCACAGCAGTTAAAATATTAGTATGTGGTTGAGCGCTAGCAGCAATTAGCTCGTTAAGCCTGAGCAGAGACGGAGCCGATGGAGACACCTGAGAGACGTTTGACCCCCTCTTTGTAAAATATGTCATCTGTTTTCTACTTTGAATGGACTATGTTGTATTTTTGTTCTGGTCCACTGTCCATCCTGGGAGAGGGACCCTAACCCTCTGTCTCTACCTGAGGTTTCTAATGTTTCTAGTTAACAATAAATGACACAAAATCATTGAATATATAAATAAGAATATATTTGAATACATTTAATTACATTTTTAAAAAACTACGGAAAAAAATGAGAATAAAATAAGAAAAAACAGCAATAGATAAACGAGAAATAGGAATTATGGGAAAGAATAAAAAAATAAAAATAAAATAAGAATTATCTTAAGAAGAAAATAAAATAACAAGAAATAATACGAAAATGAAAAAATAATATAAGAAAATAAGAATTAAAATAAGAATAAATGATATAATAAATAAAAAATAATATTTATGCATTATCTTATCTATCATTTGGACTGTCGGTGTTGTAAATGTATTATCTTGTTCATCTCTACACTGCACCGTGGACACTCAAAAGACCCTTTCTCTGTCTCTCTCCCCGAGGTTTATAACATTAGTTCCCCGTTAACTGTGGAGCTTCTTTGACAGTTTTCCTGCGAGGGTCTCAGGTTAGAAGGTGTTGCTCACCGTGAAGCCCCCTGAGACACATGTGTCATCTCTGATATTGGGCAAAAGAGGAAGCTACATGTATGTCTATTTTACAGAAACTCCCGGTGATCAGAGCACCAGTTCCTCCTCTTGAGAAGATGGAGGAAAAAACAGCTTTCCCAAAGTCAACCCAACATATTTGGAGTGGAGACAACCCTGACTCAAATACACAGATCTAGTGTTAGCGGAGAAAACACCACATGAGTGTATCCCCTGAAGCGCTGTCGTCCGAAACCAACTCATGCAAATCACTCCAACATGAGAGTCTGACCACACTGTAAAACCAATCAGAAATCAGAGAGTTGAAGCATCGACCGTTCCTCTGAAAAAGCCTGTCACAAGTTTGCAGTTCACCCCCCCCCCCCACCGCTCGCTGAGGTTAACCTCATTGATCGAAGGCTGTTTCTTGGACGGCGTGCCTTCAAAGGCATCACATGAAAGTGATTCATTGAGCAGAGTTTTAACATCTTTGCTCATATGCTCCATTATTTAAAGAAAGGGCTGCGATTCATTGCTTTCAGGAGGAATTAAGACCATCATCAACAACAGCTTTCTATCAGCGCGGGTGATCTTCAAAGGAATGAATTAGCGGTGTTAAACTTCATAAAACTGAAAGAGTGACTTTTATTTCAACAAATTCCCCCTTAACTGCATCAGGTTAGTTGAAAGCATCACTATTGAGTTGAACCTAATGTGTCATAGTATCGCTTTCAACTAACCTAAATACAATTATGTGTACTTTCTTTAGTGTATGATGGGATGCATGTTTGACATTGTCCTGCAGAGCGATGGTCAGACGGCTGATTGCTCACACACTCTCTCACACACACTCTCACACCCTCTCAGCAAATGTGTGTTTCTGCCATTAGATGGGAGTTAATTAGCTGCATGTAATCAGCATGTGATAATCAAAGCAGAGCTGAGAGCCGGTTTGTTCCTCCAAAAGGGAAGCAGTTTCCCCCCCGGTGGCTGCTGAGGGGTCAAACTGCTGTTTCGCTCTTGAGATGGATATTAAAATAATGATGTGCGCGGGTCACGCTCCACATGCACACACACACACACACCGTGATCTCACCAAGAAGGAACGGGATTTGATTGCATGAGCAGAGCGTTTAATATGCTTCCCGTCAGCCGTGGCAGATGCGACTTATTTTCATGCAAATGCGAGGCAATTTTCTACTTAAGACAACATTTATTTTCTTTAGAGTCATTGTCGCGGGGGCGCTGTCACAGAATGAAGATTTGTAGGTGCATCTGCTGACTGGAGCCTAAAGTGATGCCAGTTGGCGACAATAAATCAGACTGCTGGGGGGTTATTGTTGCAATTTGGGGGTTTTGATTTGAACACTCGAGAAGCCCAGACCCAGCAGGAGATGTTTGCATGATGGAAAGGAGATGGGTGACCTTGTGGGAACTAATTCACAGTTCATACGTGTTTGAAAGTGACATTTAACCGTCTGATACTCAGCTCTGACTGCAGATGTAAGGCTCACTTGTTGCAGTGACACACAGGTCAGTTAGCAGTTATATTAATGCATGTATTAAAAATAACTCCTGAGGACACTGTGGAGAAGATCTGCCTCATGTTGCACTCACAATCAAGGCCCACCAATCCAAATCAGTGATAATAATAAGCATTACAACTCAAATATATACAACAAATAAGAAGAAAGCAGCAGCAGGAAGATCTCTGTCCTGAATGCTCTGCAGAACCAGAGATATGAGGAAGCAGCAGCATCAAAATGCATGAGGATAACACAGCGTTAAAGGTAGGAAAAGCTCTGGAGCAACACCTGTGCTGCAGGTGAAATCACACGCACACACACGCACACACACACACACACACACACTGCGAGGTGGATGCATCTCATGGTCACACACCATCAGTGTCAGTGTGTGAGCTGTGGCACAATGAAATACTGAGCCCGCAGCAGAACATGAGAAATGTCTCCGCAGCATCGGGACCTGAACACACCACCGAGGCTGGATTTAACACACATTCACACACACTGAACCTGGATTTAACACACATTCACACACACTGAACGTGGATTTAATAACACACATTCACACACACTGAACCTGGATTTAATAACACTATTTCACACACACTGAACCTGGATTTAACACACATTCACACACACTGAAGCTGGATTTAACACACATTCACACACACTGAAGCTGGATTTAACACACATTCACACACACTGAAGCTGGATTTAACACACATTCACACACACTGAAGCTGGATTTAAAACACATTCACACACACACACACTGAGGCTGAATTCAACACACATTCACACACCACCGAGGCTGGTTATAACACACATTCACACACACCGAGGCTGGTTTTAACACACATTCACACACACTAAGGCTGATTTTAACACACGTACTGAGGCAGCTGAAACGCCACTCACCTCCTCACTGGATCCCGGTTATCCCGCTGCTGCTGCGCTCACATCCACAGTAAGAAGAAAAAATAAGAAATGTTCCCAATAACGTGCAGAAAGCGCGCAGTGTGTCAGTAATTCTTCCGATTCCTTTAAACCGTGCGCGTCCGGAGCCTGTGCGTCATTCATTCAGCTTCATCGCGGGGAAGAATCGTGCATGTGGTGCGTAAACTTCACCATCACCATCTGATCCGGAGCGGGTGTTCAGCTGCAGCCTGTCCGGGGATCAGCGCGTCCTGCGGGGCTGAGAGGGACTGACGCGGGCTGCCGGCTCCATCAGTGTACAGTAGAGGAGTGTGTGTGTGTGTGTGTGTGTGTGTGTGTGTGTGTGTGTGTGTGTGTGCGTGCGTGTGTGTGTGCGCGTGCGTGTGTGTGTGTGTGTGTGCCGCCGCTGGCACTCTGCGCGTCTAAAGCCAGCCCCCTCACACTCCGGATCATTATGCTGTTAACTGTTTCCGCCCAGAGAGAAGCATCCACGGTGAGCAGAGGAACATTTAGCAGGGTTCACCAACACAGCAGAACATTCAGGAATATAGCAGGAGGAACATTGGTTCTAACAATATACAGTTATAAACCATAAAACGTTATTATTGTATACTGCATCCTATCCAAATCCACCTGACATAACGTAAATATGTCCCGATGTGGGATCAATTCATATCTTATCTAATCTTTAAATCAAGATAAAACAGAAGCTTTTAGTTTCTGAAATGATAAGAATAATTTACAGTTTGGAGACAGATTTATGCAGAAATCAAATCATTTTCTGTTTTTGGGGGATATATGTTTGTAAATCGACTATATGTACTGCATTTTCACAGATAACATGATATCTTACCATTTCAAATGTGCACATTTGAGTAAAATACAAATGTTTAACCCTTCAGTTAGTGTGCAGCTCTGAGGTCTGTTGCTGTAGGAACGCTGCCATCTATAGGCCGCTCTGTGCCACCGCTCACACTTTAATCTCTCTTCAGATTACTTCATTTCTTTTAGTTTCTGCTTCTTTTTACTTCAGTTTTTTTTTTTTAAATAGACCTTTTGATTTGCTCTCCCTTGTTCTCTCTGGTACTGAGATGTGTTTAATGTCGCTCCAGAGGAAGACACTTTGATGAAATTGAACGTCAGGATCACTTTCTGTTTTAATGTCCCCATTTCAAGGACTTAAGACATGTTCTATTTTTCACCATTTCAGTAAAATGACCTCCATTTATTTTTGATTTAATTTTCTAGACAACTGAAAAGAGTTGTGCTTCAGGAAGGGAAACTTTATAGAATATTTAATCTGAAATCTGATTTTCTTATTGACCGAGGGACAAAATAACCTGTGATTTTGAGCATAAATGTGAAATGACTTGACGGTTTAGATTCTATTAACATAACACAAAATAAAGAAATGAATCAAATTATGTAACAGCAATCACCATATGAACTGAGTATTTAGGGAATTTAACAATTTAGAAGATAATATTCACAATTTCTTTTCGAAATGTAGGAAGATTTGGGCTGCAGACACCGGTCAATTATTTAAAGAGGACCTATTCTGTCTGAAACCAGAGCCCAGTCTGCTCTGATTGGTTAGCTGTTGTGATTGGTCAACCGCTCAGACATGTCCCGTGTGTCGGAGAGAAACTTCCTCTGGAGGGAACACAGGGATCATATCCTCTGCAGACCATTTACATGCACTAAAACATATAGATCATACTACAGGAGAGGGACAACCACACAAAGAAGAATAGGGCCTTAACAGAAAGCACTTGTTTATCATCTTTATTTAATAAATGAAACATCTTTAGGCTCAATAGTTTCAACTTCTACAGTAAGAAACTTTATAGAAATGACACTCAGTAAATTTTCCTTTTTCTCCTAAAGGTTGTGCAGTGACATTGAAACAGTTGCACTAACCTCTCCTCTTCCTGACAAAAAGTAGGCTATCCACGTCCTCTGAAGCATCAATAATGCAGAGTGTGTGTGTGTGTGTGTGTGTGTGTGTGTGTGTGTGTGTGTGTGTGTGTGTGTGTGTGGAGGGGGGGGGGGGGTCAGTCTGCATCAGAAGTATTGCTAAACTGCCAGGAGGAAGGAGATGTGGAACAACCAGTGTAAGTACACTAAAAGCACAGCGCCCACTTAAAGACAGGGTCAATAGCTGGAGGGCGTCCATATTGGAATTCCTGCGCTCTCCCTCTCAAATGGATCTCAGTCACTCTGGGGTGGGGAGGGTTGGATGGGGAGGGGGGGGGGGGGGGGGGGTAATCAAATACAGGACTTCTTCAATCCATTACTCAGCCTGTTTGGAGCAACCTGGCGTGGAACAAGCTGTGATTTGTTTGATTGGAACATAACTCAATTCATATCGAAGGCACAACGAAGAGTCTGCGGCAGCTTTTTGAGAAGAGAGAGAGTAAGAGATGGAGATGGGTATTACGAACAGTATCAATCAATCAATCAGATATTTATATATAGGCCGATATCACAGATTACAAATGGGGCTTCACAGTGTGTTTACACCCTCTGTCCTGACGACCTCGCAGGTCCAAGAAATCCAACAGTTAATGGGAACAAATGTGAGAAACAGACGATGTCATGTTAACAATTAAAAAGATAATGCATTAACAATATAGACTGTCCATATGTTGGAAAACACAATGTGTATAATTATTATTTTTTATATTATTTATTCTTATTTTAGGCAAATTGTTTTTCTCATTTCAATTGTTATTTTATTATTATTTGTATTTTTGGGATAATTCTAACGTATTGTATTTTTCATTTTATTATTATTTAATTCCTGTTTTTATTATTATTATTTTATGTTTGTATTATTCCTATTTTACAATTATTTTAATTCTTATTTAATGATTTTATTTTTGGTATTTTTCACTCCTGTGCTGGTATAAGTGTTTGTATTAATCACAATAATGTGTTACTCTGTTTATTACCTGGGAAGGTGTTTGTATTATCATCTATCATTCATGTGTTTGGTTTTTGAAGCACTTTGTGTGTGAAAAGTGAAATATCATACAACAGGAAAATACCCATATAGCATGTCTGTGTATCGTGCTAAACGCCCTGGAGCACCTTCATATGATGCAGTGCTTTCCTGCTGGTGTTCTCATAACTCACACACACGCCTCCTTCCTTAAAGCTCTTACCTGTAGAAGCAGAGAGTAACGATGGTGCAGGATCTCAGAGGTGTAACAGCCTCCGATCTGAAATCAAAGCACACATCATTGGTGATCAGTGTGTGTCAGATGACTTCATATCTGTGTTTACACGGTGGATCTGACCCGCTGCACAGAGGCTGTTTCTGCACGAAGACACGTAACAAGCGGACAGAGGTGGAAGAAGATGATTTACTATTCTGCCTTTGAGGTTTTCCCTTTCCTGTAGTGTGTTGTGTTCTGCAGGTTTCTTTCTGTGCGTGTAAAGGTCCTTATAAGATAATATAAGATAAGATAAGAAGTACTTTATTGATCCCAACTTGGAAAATGTTTGAGTTGAGGCAGCATAAAAGACACGGCATTGCACAATAACAATTAAAAAGACTAGAAATAAACAAGAAAGTAGAAAATATACATGTTGAATTTACAAATTAACAATAATACAAAAAGCTAGTTATTATAAAAACATAAGTATGTGAGGGTATATTAAACTGAATATATAAAATGTACAGTGTGATTTTAAGTCCAAGAGAAGCCTGGAAGTCCCATTTCTGCAACGACACATGCATGTGTGACATCAGATTGATAGAGAGGGTTCATTTGTGGCAAAGCATGAAGCTTATTAGTTGCAGGATGAGTTCAGTGAGCAAATCAAACAGTGGTCAGGTGGAAGGCTGAACATGAGGCCCCCCCCCCCCCCCCTGCAGGTCGCCGCTGACCGTTAACTGATCAAAGTGCTCACACACACACACACACACATTTCATACCGAGCTGGAAGCTTTCAAAGGGGCCTCCAGTGATGCCTTTAATTCTTACCCCTGCAGCCATGTTTGGAGATCACGAGGGAACCTGTCCACTCCGCTGAGCATCCATCTTTATGTGAGCCGCATCTGAGGACACACACACACACACACACACACACACACACACACACACACACACACACACACACACACACACACACACACACACACACACACACACACACACACACACACACACACACACACACACACACACACACACACACACACACACACACACACACACACACACACACACACACACGAAAAACAGAGAGTCTTATACATGCAAATATTTCTGTTCCAAAAATCTGAGTTATTATAATGAACATTTCCGTGGCTAATCATGTCTTTTGCACAATGTACAAGTGTCTTGTTAAAGACAGGAAGTCAACACTAAAGGGAACAGCAGAAGAAGACAGACAGGAAGGACCGCGGCTTTCAGTTGTGTTTACTTGTGTCACTCAAACTGCCGAGAAGGCGGGGCTTTTCTCCATGTAGATACTATGGTAGATACCAACAACAACAACATTAACATATTTTACTGTGATTTAATTGTCGAAATAACTACACACCCATTAGTAAACCATGAATTAATGCTTTGACAAGTGTGCTTACAAGACGGCAGGCGAAACACTTTAAAACAAATTCTGAATGGAGATCGGATCGGGCTAAGCTAACGTAGCTATCGATCAGGCTAAGTTAATGTAGCTGCTCTGTCCACACTCACACAGGGTTGCCAACTCTCACGCATCTGGCGTGTGACACACGCTTTCACTCTCAATCTCACGCTCTCACGCTGCCCAAACTATTTTCACGCCAAAAACAATAATACCGAAGACTAGAAAGGTTTTGAAAACTTTTGTCACGTACTGTAGTGATCGTCTTCTCAATAAACCATCTTTGATAATGTCTTCTGGCCAATCAGAATCACGATAACAGCGTGGTGTTGTTGCAGGAAGTCCCGACGGAGAATACTTTTGCTGTAGTACATCTCTATACATCGATACAACACTACGTGTTGATAGAAATCAACACGTAATGAAATAAGACCCCACGGTTTGATGATAGTTGTGTGGGCTGTCTTTCATTTTGACACACAGAACAATGGGGGCTATCCACCCTTATCCACAATGTAAAGTAATTCACACAGCCTCTTCCCTCTTCTCTCTGTGAGGAGCAGCAGGTTCAGCTTTCAGAACAAAGTCACACAAAACTAAAATGCCATTCATTTTTTTAAATATGTCGTGTGGTAATAGATTTATTTATTTTTCTACTCAAGAGAGTACCAGAATGTGTATT